AACCACACTGTGTGCAGGAAAACTCATTGTGGATACTGAGGGAGACTTGGTAGGTTCCTATAATGAAACCAAAAAACTCTCACCTCCTCCTGCCTTTCCTGGAAGGAATCATTGAGTGAATGTTTTTCTTTGCTCTTCAGCCTTAAAGAATGTTTTTTGACCAATGACCACTATTGACGTGGTCTAACGCTCTATAAATGCCATTTAGTGCTAAAGCCTGTCAAAAGCACATGGAGCTTGTGACAGCTCTTTGTCACTGACATGCTGGGGAAGGGACGGTTATGAGAAGGTAGAGAATTAATGTTGCTAGTTTTCATGTGTAGAGAATGGTGACTGGAGTACACAGTCCTACCCTAGACCCAAGAGAACCTGCCACAGGTCCAGTCCTCTAGCCAATAACTTCTTTAGGGAGGCCGAAGTGTAAGGCAGAGCTCCAAAGATTGGTTTCTAAGAGCTGTCATTCCAGAAGAAAGCCTGGGATTGCCTTAATTGCTTCCTTAGAGAGCCCTGGGGGAACCCTCACGTTTCATGTGTTACAACCTAGAGAAACTCCAGGAGTTATGAGGAGTGACTGTAGCCAGATGGCTTTCACCCTCAAGCATCTCTGGTATGTGTCACTGTAGGACAGAAAACAGTGCTTCGTCTCCATTGAGGAAGTGATCAGTATAAAGGGAAGTTTCCTCCTTTGTCACACACCATCTCTCCTTCCTTCTCTCACAGCTGTCATTAAAGGGACAGAACACACATAGACTGTATTCTGTTTTAACCCACTGAGTCCTCGAAACAATCCCACGAATTAAGTTTTATCATTATACCCATGTTGCAAGGACTAAACAGAGACCAAGAGGTAAAGTTACTTGCCTGGCATTGCACAGCCTGTAGGTGTTATAGCCAGACTCAGCCCTGGGCAGTCTGGCTGCACAGTGTATTCTTTTTTTTTTAATTCGGTACCAGGGATCGAACTCACCACCGCCTACTTGCAAGGCAGGTGCTTATGCTGCTGAGCTAAATCCCCAGCCCCTGCACAGTGTATTCTAATTCACCCTCTGTGCTGCATTGCCCAGCTGTGATCCCCCTGAGCCTTTGGCTTTAGATTCTGAGAAAGTGATTTTCCTCTTTGGAGAATATCATTTCTCCCAGTACACATAGGATGAAGTACCAGTGAATCAGCAGAGGTTTTAAAGGATCAGGTGCATTTTTGTTTTATTTTTTTATTTTTTGTCTTTTTCCTTTTTTATCAGTACCAGGGATCGAACTCACGACTGCCTGCTTGCAAGGCAGGTGCTTATGCCGCTGAGCTAAATCCCCAGCCCCTCAGGTGCATTTTTGATGTCAGAAGAATTTAGTCCCACTTGGTAGCTCTATGAGCAGCCCCACTGCCAAGTTGCCATCACTTAAAGGACTTCAACACTCCAGGACCAGTTGGTAGCCAGCCCTCAGGTCCCGCCCATCATCAGAGAGCATCAAGGGTGCGGACTTTGGGGTGGTCAGTCTGACACACAGTCCAAAAACCAAGGGAAATACTCCTATTTTTGCTACCATCTAACTTGCAATTCTATCAGCAGAGTTTGACCTGTCCTTGACATTTGGGGGCACAGACATGTAGCTATATTTATCTGGAGATACATATAAAACACCCCTTATCTACTTCCCAAGTGGTTGTATGCACCAGAGGGAAACAACCCAACTTGTATCAGCAACTAGATTGGTTGTGCAAATCAATACAAATGCCTATAAATACAATGGTCCCAAATAAACGCTGATGAGTGGAGATAAATAATGTTTACAATTGCTTTAAGGGAGTAGATAGAGTAGCTTGGGATTTGGCTGGCACTGGGGAAAAGGCAGGGGATTAATTAGGGCGTTTATTGGAGCAACTTGCAAAGATTAAAAGGAGAAGAAGACTTGGTACAGCTGCCATTCGAACGCAGGAGAGCACGGATGCCCATGGTGTAGCTTGATGAATGCGCCAGAGAAACAGAAGCCATCACCAGTGATTTGGGGGAGGCATTTAACCTTCCTGGGTCTCCGTTCTTCCATCTGTCAGTATGGAAAATTGGGTATGGAAATCAAGGGAACAGAGTGAAACGCTTGGAGCTCTTCTGAAGAAAAGCATCAGCATCCTATGACCTTTAGGTTCGGGAAACGCTATTATTTGGGGGAAATACGCCTATGGGGTGTGACATTGACTTGTGTCCAGTGTCACTAATTCAGGTGTCCTTGAGGAAGCAGGCAGTCTGAAGCAACTGCATGGAAGAAATGATAGGCATGCAGAACCTTGCAAGGAGCATACTTCTCCACGGCATCAGAGCAGGCCCAGCCTACGCCAACCCTGCATAAATAAGGCCATACGCGAAGCTCAAATGACTCCAGGCCTTGCTCTTCTGGTTGGCGCCAGTCAATCACATGTGGGATCAGATGTTGCCTTGCCAGCCTGACAGATGTATTTCCAGCAGAGCTCTGTTTATGTCTTGGTCCTTGTTTGTGTGATGGCCTATGTTTTACAACTTGAGTCTCTAAGAATTTTTCCCACGGCTATGGATCAGACCTTATCACTCCTAACCAATTATGGCAGCTTTAAAAAGTGCTGTCATTTTCCTCAATTTCATTCATTGTGATATAATCAGGTATAGATTTCTGACACTGAGCATCTAATGGGGTTTCAGATTTAGAAGGTAACAATAAAAGTTTTTTTTTTTCTTTCCCCTCCTGGATATCTCTTTGTTGAGAGACACACAGTGAAATAGTTCTGAATGACAGAGCAAAAAGAATTCATATCCACTTGCCCAGAGAAAGTCTGGGGTTCAGGGGGACTGCACGTGTGGGCTAAGCTAATGATTTCCCCTGCAGGATCAGCTCCCTTCTCCCCTACCACACTCCATGCTTAGGTTCTATGCTGTGTGTCTTCCTGTGTCTGCCACTGGCTTTTATGATGATGAAGAAGACACCCTTAGCTTCTGATGGACACTGAAATGACCAACCAGGGACTCCAGTTCTGCTGCTTTTGAGTCCCTTGTTTCCTGCAAGAAGATTTACAAAATGATGGAACCAGACATGCTGAAATGATCTTCTCAACATTTCTTTCCTGTCCCCTTCCCTTTGTCGCTAGGCTGTGACCCTCGAGTTATTTCCTTTTGCCAATAAATCATCTGAAGATTCTGTTCAGATCACGCATGCCTGTACCACAAGGAAGATGCTTGCAATTAGTATCAAAGAGCTGTTCCTTGGGCTAAATATACTGTGAAAGGAAACCTGAGAGGTGCCTGTCACTTAGTGAAAGGCCACAAAACCCAACAATGGCTAAGCTATTGACAGGCAAGCTAATGACATCTTTTCTGTGCTCCCTCTGGGGTTAGTCCCAAAGGAAAAGCTTCACTCTGGGTGGTTCAGAAGTGGGAAACCATCCAGAAGAGAAGGTGAGAATCACGCAGGCTGGGGACTGTGCAGATGCATGACCATGCTAAATGATGTCTGTCTCCTGCCTGCTGCCGCGCAGCTGTGGGAACAGATACTCTTACTTGGAATTTCTCACTGCTAGCTTCCTATGAATAGTGCAAGTTCATAGCGCTGGTTGAGTTTAGCACAGTATTAGCATAGGTGGTTCCCTTTTGTGTTTTTAAGGACCTCAGTGTAAAAATGATAGGGCTGTACCTGATATTGATAGTAAGTTGTTCCCATGACCGATGCCATCTCGAACTTGAAAATTTAGCTGCTCATAGAACACCTGATTTTTGTTTCTATCCGAGGGCTTCCCTAGGTTCCAATCCTAGTATTTCCCACTTAAAATAGGGACCATCTAGACCAGTGGTTTCTGAGTAAATGGAAGAGTCAAGCTTCGTAAAAGGCCAAGGCAGCTTCCAGGGCTGTAGCAGCAGCCACCACTCAGCCCTGGTGTTACCAGTGTTGTTAGTTTTATAAAGAAGCCAGAAATCTAGATTTTTATGTGAAATTGCCCATTTACTAGTGGAAATTAATTTTAAAAATTTAATAACTTGCAAACCTGGCATAGTGGAGCACACCTGTACTCCCAGCACTCGGTAGACTACGGCAAGATCACTGTGAATTCAAGGTCAGTCTGGGCTACAAAGTGAGTTCAGGGCTGGAACCGCATAGCAAGACCATGTCTCAAAATACAATTGGTACTCTGGGGTAAATAAAACAAGACTGGGCTATGGATGGTCCAGAGGCCACCAATGGATTGGTTCTGATCCAGCCTCGCTCAACTGAGGCCACAGAAGGACTTGCCTAAGATCACACAGCTGAGATGGCACAGAAAACTTCTCACTCACGTTGTTTTGCTGGAGAAAAGGTGGGAGCTTGGTGTTTCATTTCTGTTTCTGCTCCATCCTGTAGCCAAGCACACTGGTGGACCTGGATATACCATGTTTCCTATGGCACAGGGAGACAAGCAGGAGGCTTTGAGTCAGATGTGTGCTTGGGCCCAGGTCTTCCACTTGGCAGTGGGTGTGACCTTTGGGACATCTCTTGACAGCCCTGGGCTTTGGTTTCTTCACTAGTAAAATGAAAATAAGCAACTGTGCCTCCTGCAATTGTCTGAAGGTTTGTGTGAGACGGTCTCGCTGGGGATTAGCACACTCGTGAGACACACTTGAGAGGGAAGAAGAGTGCTGATGTCAGACACCAGTGCTGCAGACACAAGCAGCTCAGAGCAGCCTGTGTGCGCTGTCCCCTAGCACAGAGGGTGGTACACAGGGGTAGTGAGGGCCGGTCCACTTTCCTGCACAGAGCTTCCCTCCTTTCCGGAAGTAATGTACCTCCAATCCAGCTCTGATCTGTCCTCAGAGATCAGGATTGGGTGTGTGTTTTGCAGCAGCCCATACTGCATCTTCATCCCTACAGTTCTTCAAACCCAATGGCTTAGAATCCAAGTAAATGTAACTTGGGGCCAGATCTACACTCACCTTGGGCTGCCTTGTCCTGCCCAAGGGCCACTTTGATTGAATGTGTATGGTGAAATATGTTTTCATCTCCATTTCCAGGGACGCAGACCGGGCTATTTCTCCTTCCTGGACCCCTTTTCTCCAGGCGTCTGGCTCTTCATGCTTCTAGCCTATCTGGCTGTCAGCTGTGTCCTCTTCCTCGTGGCTCGGTACTCTCCGCTCCCCTTCCCTGTCCTCACACCGCCACCTGGTGTCCACCTCTGGGAACTGCATGGGGCTGGGGTAGGCAGGAGAGGGGAGACTGAAATCTTGATGCCAAACCAGAGGGATTGGAGAGTGACTGTGGCCCGGAAATGCTCTCTGTTCAGTTGTGGATCTCACACTCCCCATCTACCCATCTCTGTGTTTGTGCCCTCCCTAACATACGCAGTGAAGACTGGACTGGTTTCCCTCCCATTCCCCAATCTCTGGCTCCTGCTTCTATAGGAGCCTTGGGAAAGACAGCAGGGCAGGATGATCAGTCTGATTAAACACCGCATTCAGAATCCTGGCATCGGTCCTTGGCAGAAGCTGCCACAGAGGCTGAATGACAAGAAACTGAGCCTGAACATCCAGAGTGGTAGGACGGGAGGCTGAAGTGACACGCGCCAGGGAGAAAGCAGAGCTGGAAAACACAGCTGTCTTGTTGGATAAGACAGAAGAGGGGGCCAAGGTGGCCAGCGGACAGGACACAGAAAAGTCTTTGGGGACAGGACAGAGAGAAGTGTGTTGAGTTGTGACAAATGATCCAAATCAGGGGTGGTGGAGAGTAAGCCCTCCGCTAACCCCAGAAGCTGGGGACTGCCCCTAGTGGAAATTAATTTTAAAAATTTAAAAATAGGGGCATTGGTATTTGCAGGGAATTTGACTCACTGGTACTCAGATTCAGAAACTGGGGCTAAACTGCCTGTGCTCTCTCGTGTTAGGAGAGGCAGCAGTGCTGTCCTTAGGGTGCCTGACTCCCAGGCCAGCTCCATCCTGCCCAAGTGGAGTTGAAGTGCCCCCTGTGAGCCTCTTGCAGGTGATCAAGGCATAGATGAGGAAGGTCATCCAGGGCCCACAAGACCCAGCCTGACACAGAACGGCTTTGCTTACCACCTGGTAGTCTCCAGGGGCAGCCGAGTGTGCTGCTGTCCCACACCTACCCTCATGGGTTCATACTTGCTACTGTCAAGTATCTGTTGTCAGCGACAGCTGGCGAGGCGCGGGAGCTTGAGTGCTGTCTGACACTTCTGCTGTCTGCTTTGCAGTGTTGTCTGTGCTGCTTTTAGGAAGCTGCCTGCCTGTGGCCAGCTCCATGGCTCTGACTCTCTGGTCCTTGTGACTGAGCCCCTGTGCATGTCATGCCACAGCTCCAAGGTCACCTTCAGAACCCTTGAAAGGTTCTTAGGGCTTGATCGGTAGATATGTTCACACACAGACTTGCCTCACCATGCCCAAGGCAGCCTAAACAGGCCTTTGGGGCTGTATGCCCCAATTCCCTGCCTTCCACATGCATCCTGCCAAAAACATTAACAAAAATTTTATGAAAGGATTAATCACATGTGTACACATTCTCACATACAGACACAGTCACACGCAGAGAATATCTAAGCGTAGGATATTCTTCCCTAAGGCAGTGGTCTGTAAGAAGGGTTCTATGTGGCACAAAGGCTGCTGTAAACTACTGGAGACTTTGGGAGAGTGACCACAGCCCTGGGGCTCCCAGGCCTCATCCTCCAGATGGAGCTTTGCTTTTATCTCTCGCATATTATACTTCTGGATAAGATTTTTAGAGGGGGAAAAACATTTCAAAACTACTGCTGTTCACAAACCATCTGACCATCAGAGTCACACTGGGAGCTTTTAAACCTTTGAATTCCTGGCTCCAGGGTCTGAGAATCTCTAGGGCTAGGGCCCCGGAAGCTATGCATCTGGAGTGTAAGCCCCTGCTTCTCAGGGTGCACTGGAAGCTGCAGGCATTGGTATTTGCAGGGAATTTGACTCACTGGTACTCAGATTCAGAAACTGGGGCTAAGCATGGCAGTCTATTTTAACAAACCATCTTGGTGAGTATAATATAGGCTAAAGGTTCAGAACTTAGCTGAGATTTTTGCACCCTGGTTCTGTGGGACCCTAAAGGTCCTCCCTCATCCCTTGGGAATTTGGAATAAAAGAACAAGCAACTTGCATGGCTGCCCAGGCCTTGACACTCCCAGCTTCCTGTCACTTTTATCTGTTTGAGTATTAGAGTTCCACATCAGAATTTATTCATGGAGAAAAGTATAACTTTTTACAGAAAATAGTATGAGATGCTCCAACCTAGCGCAACTGTACCACTGTGCCTTTTTTCGGGGGGCGGGGGGTGTTCAAATTTGGAGACAGGAAGTGGCTAGACGAAGGCAACCAAATCAGTTACTGAGCCCCAGTGGTGAGGCCAGAGGGAGAGCTGGTCCCCTCTGTCCAGCACTCTTTTCTCATTCTTGTCCCCCCAGCACTGGTATATCTTCCCTTTCTCCCACAGGTTGACGCCCTACGAGTGGTATAGCCCTCACCCATGCGCCCAGGGTCGGTGCAACCTCCTGGTCAACCAGTATTCCCTTGGCAACAGCCTTTGGTTTCCAGTTGGGGGCTTCATGCAGCAGGGCTCCACCATTGCCCCCCGAGCCTTATCTACCCGCTGCGTCAGTGGAGTCTGGTAAGGTCTCATAGAGAAAGGGCCAGGGCTGAAGGGCAATGGGACCAGGGCATATGGGGAGCAGAGGGGGTCCATAATTAAGCGTGTCCCACTGCTGGTAGACAGAACGTTGGAAGCCTTGCAAAAGAACCCCAACACCTCTGCCTTTCATGGTGACGCAGCAGGGGTCTGAACTACCTAGTGCCAGCTCCAAAGATTGCAGAAAATGGATGCAACCCACTCTGAACTACCTTCTCCAGTTCCCTTTACTCTGCCTTTGAGGTCTGGACACAGAGGGGAACCCAGGCAGGAAGGAAGAAGCAATAAACAGCCTTTAAGACCCACAGCAGAGCAAAGATAACTTCCTAACCTAAAAATGATATTACATTGAGTGGCTGGTCCAGCAAGGCATATTCAGATTCAGGCAAATATGAGCCTCTAGCAGGCAGCCGCTTCAGGAGGAGGCTATGTCACATGACCACCTTCTCCCGGGCCTCTGCAGCTCTGTCCCCTGCCTGCCTCCGGGCATGTGGCCTGTATAGCTCACCAGGTGTGGGAAGATGCAAACGCTTAGACACTCAGCCATGGGCAAACGATTGAAAGGGTGAAAAAGCTCCTTGAAAACCTGGATGTGTTTTCACCTTGAATTTATGGGCTAATAATTTTTATTAGACATTGTGGAGGAAATGACATGTATATATCTCCTAGAGAGGCAAGTTTGCAAGGTACAGTTTCTGATCCTCTCTTAAAATCCACTTTCAGTTTGGCTGCCACAGCTGATAGGATTTAACATCCTTGGTTCCCTGATTAGATGAAGGAAAGGAAGAGTGGTGTTTCCGTCCATGGGTGCTGGTGGCCAGGTCAGGGTGGTCTGGACAGAGACAGCACAGGAGCTGCTGGAGCTGGAGTAGTCCTCCTACCTAGAAAATTCATCTCCTTGATAAATAATACATACAGTACGATGTAACCAAGTTGGGCAGAATGCTCACCTATCAGACATTGCCAAGTAGATCAGTGCAGAGAACTGAGACTTACTGTCTCCAGCAAAAAGAAATAGCTCGGCAGAGGCAGGCTCAGTGGTCCCCCAAAATTCACAAAGTCAGAGTAGATGTACTAAGACAGGAGCACCCATCAGCTGAGGATGTTAAGGCTCTTTCTTCCAGAGGGTGCACCTGGTTGTTGGTACAGAAGGCTCCACTGCCTGATTTGTCCACCTGGCAGCCTTCTCCAACCTCTATGCTAGGAGACCCCTCCTCTAGAGAGCATCAAAGGTGTGAGTCCTTCAGGGCCCTGTTCTAAAAGGCTGGCCCCAGTGGTTTGGTCACTGTGTCCCAGTGTGTTGGAAAGGGGCCTCAGCACTAAAGAGGAGCCTCCGTGAGGGATGCTTGCTGGTCCCTCTCTAAGTCAAGCCCACTCCATGCTGTTTCCCTGGAGTTTGGGAAGTCAGAAGTCAGGGTTGCCTTGGCCTCCTCTGCAGAGCATTTGGCAGAAAATGCTATGCTGTTCACAAGCTCACCAACATCTCCGCTGACAATACCCTTTTAAAGCAAGAGCCAGACTCCACCAGCCTCCAGAACCTGCATGAGCATCCTCTGCTTTCTCACAAAGGTGACAGGTTTGCATTGAGCTACTTAGATTCACAGACCTCTTCCCTTGTGACCAGAGGCCTAGACTGCCACAAGGCTACCCAAGGTGGAACAGATGTCAGAGTGTGTTGCCTGGTGGATGAGGGAGGAAACTCCCAGCTGACCCTGAGGCCACGTCCTCATCCAGGGCTCACTGCCTTCCACCTCTCACCAGTGCAGCTAAGCAGCAGGAAGACATTGGCCTGTTCCTGGGAATAATCACAGGAAACAGTTTCTAGCAGGGCAGAAATCAGCACCCAGGGCAAAGAGAACAGGTCTTCAGCACACCCCCAGGTCTCACCTGGGAAAGATACAAGGCAGTAACCACGTGATTTGCAGCCACATGCAAGCTGAGGGTCTCTTGTCCCACATTCATGAAGTCCTTTACAGATTACTGATCACTCATGGCATTCTACCTCACTTGATGTCACAACTCTTCCTAGACGGACAGGCAGGCATTATTAGATCCATGAGATCAGTGATCTTGAAGGCCAGTAGGCTTCCCTGTGATGTCCCAGATGGGAGGTGACCAGAATCGAAAGCTCACTCACCTCAGTGGCAGGTAGCAGAAAGCCAAGACTATTAGTGGGTACCTGTGCCCTTGTGGGGCACTCATTGCTTCACCCCTAGGGTGGCAGCCCGCAGAAGAGCCTAATGATTGCAGCTTAAGAGGCAGTGGTACCTGCTGTTGAAAATTCACCTGATGCCTCCTAGCTGCTGAGTCCTGTGGTCTGCTCTTTAGCTAGCAGTGTCTTTACGAGAAGTGAAGGCTCATGAGTTCAGACCTCACTGATTTGGAATTTGTGATTCTTCAGTCTAAATTGTGCTTAGTCTCTCTTTGGACACCTCCCACCAAAAGTATTGGGATTTAGATCCATACTGTTAACCAGATGAGAAAAGCTTGTTTAATCTACCAAGGTGAACAAACTATTGTTAATGGCTTTAGTCTGCTTGCATTGCAAAATTATTCTACCTTTAAATGGGCTGTAACTACTCAATAAAACAGTCTCCTAGTTTGAGGTAACATGACCATTGTAAGAGTATTTTCAGCAGGGTGTTGTGGTACATGCCTGTAATCCTGGCACTTGGGAGGCTGAGACAGGATAATTTCCATGAATTTGAGGCCAGCCTGGGCTAAATAGTGAGTTTAAGATGAGCCTGGACTACATAGTGAGATCCTGTCTCAAAATAAAAGGAATATTTTCATTTATAATACTTAGGCAGTTTGAAAGGTTTTTTTGTTTTACCAATTTGTCTCATTAAAGAGTTTAATGATTTATACCTTGTTATCAAGATTTATATCTTGTTATCAAGATTTATAGAATCCACTCTAAAAAACACACATATCAATGTGTTACTTGGCAAATCACTTCCTTGCCCAGGTTCAGTTTCCTCCCCTGTTAGATTAGGATAGGACACTTACCTCTGGGACTGGGGATTTAGCTCAGTGGCATAAGCACCTGCCTTGCAAGCAGGCGGTCGTGAGTTCGATCCCTGGTACCGATAAAAAAGAAAAAGACACACACACACAAAAGACACTTACCTCCTTGAGTTGCAGGGATTATGCAGGCTGGCAGCTCATAGTAGATTGAGTACCTGGCCATTCACATGTGAAGGCTGACTTCAGCGTAAGCAGGTAGGAAGCCAGCTCAGTTCTAGCTATGCACAGAATCCTCCAGGTCAGAGCTCTCACTTGCTCATTTCCTGTAGTCCCCAGACTCTCTCATGTGTGTGGACTATACATCTTTTAAATAGCAGCCAATAATCAGCTCCTTTCAGAAATAAGAAAAAAATCAATTGTGTTTTCCAGCAGTACCCACAAACTCGGTCCGTTTCCTCCTGACATCATATGCCCTGCCTCCTTTCTCTTCCCCTGCTAAGCTGAGAGCTCCTCAGAAGACAGACAGGCTCCTGGTCTCTCTTATGTCGCAGCAAGACTGGGTTTGGGGGCCAACATACATGGGAGTGCCGGGCAGTGATGACTTCCTGGTCTTTTCCTACCCAGGTGGGCCTTCACGCTGATTATCATCTCATCCTACACGGCCAACCTGGCAGCCTTTCTGACCGTGCAGCGCATGGATGTGCCCATTGAGTCAGTGGACGACCTGGCTGACCAGACTGCCATCGAATACGGCACCATTCACGGAGGCTCCAGCATGACCTTCTTCCAAGTAAACCTCATTTGTTGCTCGCCAACATTGTGGGTTGGGTAGAATAAAGCTGAGATGTTTGTCCAATGGAGCTGAAAACATCTCTCCTCATCTCATTATCTCTTTCGAGCATTGGTTTGGAGAGTTACCTGGGGGTCATTTTTCTCCTACTCCACAAAATGAACCAGAATGGGGTCCCAAAAGGACTTTGGGTTCCTATTAGCCTATCCCAGAGTGATAGACATGGAGGATTATTAGTACTTGGGATGATTTTATGTTTAATATGGTGGAACTTGGTTTAAATGCAATAACTTCAGGTTTATTTTAAGTGCATTAGAAAAAAATATGCGGTGACTCAAACCTATAGTTTTATGTAAATGCTGTGTAGGGTGAGATTAATGTGTATGTTTAAATTTTTAAAAATGAAAGCAGTATTTTAGGTATTACTATAACCAAACAAGATTAAAACAGTACACAGATGACTGCTGTTTGAGGAACACTAGATTAAGGTGAACTGGTATCATTGATTCCTGGTTGATAGACCTCAGATGGGGACCCTCTTAACTCTTTTGGGATTCCCTCTCAAGGTTTAGGAGAAGGTTGTGCCTCAATAATGTGTTCACTGACCGGCAAGCTGCTTGATTGCCAAGCTGACAGCAGGAGACCAGGCAGAGCGGTAGTTTTCGTAGCTTCAGGATCTCAAGGGAAGCAGCTTTCCCCTGGGGCCAATGGGTGTCCCCAACCTGCCACGTAGAAGCTCATTTTGGTGTGAAACAAGCCGAGTTCTTCTATTTCCATGCAAGTCTCAGAGCCTGTGGCACAGAGACCACAGACAGCGTCATGCAAACACAATTTGGATGGGCCCTGAGAATTCTGTCTTATGATTAGTAAAATAGAAGCCAGCATTGCTGTGTGACAATAAATGGTTTCAGGGGAGGTGGTGATAGCTGCAGGTGGCATTGGTGTAAATCCTGAGTGAACCTGAATTCCCTGCTCCACGCTGAGGGCTGAGGAAGGGACATGAATTCCAGTTTTACCAGGAAATGGAAGCTGTCAGTGGCAGATCTCTAGGGTTGATGAGGCAGAACTGATAATCAACCAGTGGTCAGGATTCCCAGGACCTTGGGACTCCATTGCTCCATCCTCTTTGTGCAAATGCAAAAGCAGTGAACATCTTGAGTAGAGAGACGGAAGAAAAAAGATTCTTGACTGTCATGGGGGCAAGTAGTGGAAGGGCCAGCATTTGACACCCATTGTGATTCTTTCTCTTGAAACCAACATTTTCTTTCTGTTTCCCAATCCTGCTTCCTTCTGCTCTTTCCCCAGAATTCCCGCTATCAGACCTACCAGCGCATGTGGAATTACATGTACTCCAAACAGCCAAGTGTGTTTGTGAAGAGCACAGAGGAGGGAATTGCCAGGGTGTTGAACTCCAACTATGCCTTTCTGCTGGAGTCCACCATGAACGAGTACTATCGGCAGCGAAACTGCAACCTCACTCAGATTGGGGGCCTGCTGGACACCAAGGGCTATGGGATTGGCATGCCAGTCGGTAGGCAGGCAAGGAGCAGCCTCACCGGGTAGCTTCACCCAGGCAGGCTCAGAGCAGCTAAAACCACGGAACGCAGTGCTGAATTTAGGGACTCCTGTTTCAGGATTTCAGGCTGGGGATATAGCACAGTAGTAGAGCTTGGCTAGCATGCATAGGTCCTGGGTTCAATCCCCGTACTGATAAACAAACATATGGATAAATATATTCAGTAACCCATTTAACAGTGACTTCAGATGAGTCTTCTTAAGGTTTAAAAGCAAAATAACAGCTAACCTACACACTTTTACTAATCAGTGGTAACACTTTCTCCATAAATATGAGAGAGCTAGTTGATTGGTTACTTGACTTATTATTACAGGTTAATTCTCATTATTAAAGGGTATGTTGGTGCCCTCAATAGTGAATACTTGCTTCTCTTATTCTGCTTTTTGTACTTTGGCCAGTTCTGTGATTGAGATCTCTACTAGCAGGGGGAGGAAGTAAGAGGTGGTAACCCCAAATGAATGGATTAATCTTGCTTTTTTGCTAGTGACCACTGAACAGTTTACTGACATGACTGAGATAGCTTTCAATCATTTGTGGGTTTCATGGATCCATCCACTCTGAGCTGGCGGGGGTAGCAGGGAAGGATGGTAAAGCCCTGGTGTTCAGCCTGCTGCCTGTTGCCATCTCCATGTAGTGTTACAAGAAAGTGGAGATAGTTGGCTTTCACAAAGGTATCTTAGCTGTGCTTTTTAAAGGTCATTCACACTTGGGCCTTCTCCTGCTGGTAGTGTTTCTACCAGAAGATGAGGGGGAACATTTTTAGCTGTTGTTGTGATTGTGGAGAGATCTGAGTGTGTTCTCCAGGTGGTTGTGATATACACCCTTCCCCCACATGCACCATGGAAAGCCACTGACGCATAGGGCTGTGTCTGTACCCGGGTATTCTTTATCATGTCGTCCAGAGAAGAAACAGAAGTTGGGGTCATTGGCTCATATGAGAACACTGATACGCCATATGCCCATCTTTGTAGTAACATTGCTCTTCCCATCTGCTGATCTTTACCAAAATGCAAGCTCTATAAATTATAGGATTCACTTACCCCTATGGAGTGTAATGAGCATGGTGTTAGAGTTAAGCAACCTGGAAAGGCATCATGTTTATTGCCATCGTGGTACCTTAGAGAGGCTATTTAACACGCTGTGCGTCAGTTATCCCATTAATAAAGTTAAGTTTCTAACACCTGTCCATAGGGTCATCACAAGGGTTAAACATGACCATCTGAGGACAGGGTCTTGCACTTAGCCTGCCTAAGAAAGAATATTAGTTTCCTTTCCATCTTTCCTATAATTGCCTTCTGTTATTCGTTAAAAACATGACTTCTTAAATACTGATCAGAAGCCAAGCAGCTGAGACCTAATATGGTCCATGTCTGAACTCTAGGTTCTGACACCTGCAGTTCTGTGATTGGAGGTCTCTCTCAGGATCCCTGGGATGAGGCACACCCTCTATTTGCTGTCACATTGCATCAGTATCCATTAACATTACAGGTGATGGACCCATTTGAGAGCTGATGGGTCGGCTGATGTTTTCTTTCAAGATGGTGGAGTAAGCTACAAAATGAACTTAGGCTGCATCTTGGTGATATTCTAGCTATTTAATGAGTTCAACTTAAATTTCAAGTGCTTCCAATATTTTCATTAGAAACTTGACTATGGATAGTTGAGATAAAACAAATCAACTCTAGAAATTTTCACTAATAACCAAGGACAAATGATGGAAAATGCATTCCTCTTATATCTAATCCAATACTATTTTCCCATCGTATCTCACTTAGTTGTCCCACCTGTGAAGTAGATGTTATTATTGCCTTCCTATAGAGGGCAGAACAGAGATTCAGAGCAGATAGATTGCTTGACCAGGACTACAGAATAGAGAAAGAAACTGGCTTGTGTTGGGATGCTTGTCTTCAAATGTAGTATTTCACTGACCAGATCGTGCTGCCCAGTGGACCTACTAGCTACACAGGCAGGACAGATGGGAAGATGTGGCGTGGTTCTCAGAGGAGGCTGGGAGAAACATTACACAGCTCGCTGATGAGATAGGATTTCATCTGAGGTCATGCATATATGTCATCCTCAGGAGAGAGCTGAAGGGATAACTTTTGAATTAGCCAGGTTGTTGGACCTAAATAAATAAGAAAACAAAAAGAAATAGAACGAAGAACAAGTTGCAAAATCGATCAGGTGGTGTGGGAGCTAAGTAAGCATGAAATAAGCAGAATAGCTCTTTTCCATGACCCCTGGTGTAACATGGGATTGGACTGAAACTGCCTAGAAGGTGTTTGAAATGATGTACTGTGGGCTGGACAGAGGTCTCTAAATCTGGAATGTTAGTGACCCTAACCCTAACCACATCTGCTGGGCAGCTTGTTTACATATCCACTCACTATAAGCACCTACTCTACATGAGACTCTGTTGGTGTTCACCTGGACCAGTTACACAGACACGTTCAGTACTGCAGGCTTGTCATGGGTGTGCCCAGGCATAGGTGTGTCTATGGTACCAGGAGGTTCTACTCTATGAGTCCTGGATTGCCAGAGTTTGAGAGATCTGATTCTTTGCCTCTCAAAGTGCAGCCCATAGCCAGCTGCCTGGGCATCACCTTGGAGTGTTTGGAAATGCAGCATTTCAGGCCCCCCTGCCCTGAGCCTACTGAATCAGAACTTGCAGTTCCACTAAATCCCCAGGCGATTGCCATGCACATTAATATTTGAGCTTTGTGCCAAGCTTCTGCCTAAATCCTTCACTATAACCTTTTTTCCTCTGAGGCATCTGCGACTACAGACTGCCATAGAGCTTGGACAAGGAAACTGGAAGCTTGGTTGTTTTCTACCCTCTTGGCAGCTTTCTCTTGATGATCTCAGGCCTCAGACTATTGTGGGACATTGAGCTTTCCATGGTTTCAGTTAAGCCTGTTTTTGTGATTAAACCTTAATTCTAGAACCAAAGCTCCTTGACCATATTCCATCAGAAAAAAAAAAAATTAAAACTTGCCCTGAACAGAAAGAAGCCTTCTGTTTAAGGAAAGAATGATAAAGTAACAGACAGGGAAGTGTTTTTGGTGCATTCAGCAGGCAGCCATGACACTTGGGGAGACCCCGTGCAGATGGACAAGGGGAGGCTTCTGTCGCCCTCTGCGGGGCTCTTCTCACTGCCTGAGGTCAAGTGTAGTGTAGTGACAGTTACTAGTGTCCAGGTAAATTTGGTAAAGTACAAATTGGATGACTGACTGAGAGGTGTGTGTCACAGAAGTGCAAACTTCACTTCCTGGAAGCCAGTAGGAAGTTCTGCCACAGACTTCCTGTGTATCAGTGGATAGGTCACTTACCATGCATAGGCTATCTTTTTAAATTTAGAAATCGTGGGTACCTGGATGGAGAGGCGAGGCAGTGCATCCTTCTGGAAAGCTATTACTTGACCCACCTGAGGTCTTTGGCAGTGGGTTGGATGTGCCAGTCAGTGGGGACAGAAGACAACTAGAAGAGACCAACATTTAGCCTGCTAGAAGCTGGAAGGTTCTCCTTTACCACAGAGAAGGAGATAGCACAGAGGGGACAGCAGTGGTCTAGCAATCAGGGGCCACCTGCCACATCTGACCCTCTTCCTGAGGTTCAAGCAGGCAGAGCAGCTAGGAGGTGTGCTCAGAAGGGGACTAGAGTGGCACCTAGGAGGACATTTACATCCTGTGTCCTGGACTTTCTTGTGACCCCACAGGTTCAGTTTTCCGGGACGAGTTCGATCTGGCCATTCTCCAGCTCCAGGAGAACAATCGCCTTGAAATCCTGAAGCGCAAGTGGTGGGAAGGGGGAAAGTGTCCCAAGGAGGAAGATCACAGAGCCAAAGGTAAGGGTGTTCAAGACCCCTCTTCCCACCTTAGAGGATGAGCACAGCTTGTGTCTTATGTCCAGATTTCAGACTTCTAAGGAGAATGAGCCCTGGAAGGCATAGGAGGGATGGACTGGAGTGGGCTGGGGTGGGGTCTTTTATACTGTAGGTACCCAGTGTATCCCTGGTCCCCAAGAACTGCAGATACAACCTCCTCTTTGTGTGCTAGATCGACCCCATCGTCCCCAGCACCATGACTTCCACCTTAGTCCATGTCCCCAACATCTCCCACCTATATGGTTGCCAGAGCCTAGATCCTTTCCCCGATTTTAGCCCTCACTAGTGTATTCTCTGCTACCAGCCTGGATGATTCTTCTTTAAAGTGTAGATTGAACTGCAGCATTGGCCTACCAGTGGCTTCTCATCTTGGAATAAAAATTCAAACTTTCTGTAAAACCTCAAGGCCCTATGTGACCTGTTCCCCCACAGATTTCTTCTCTTTCTGCTCCCCAAGCCTCCCACCTTGCTTCCACACCAAGGTGGGAGCTTGCCTGCCCCCTCCCCAGCCTCCCGGGGAGGCTCAGAGAGGTCTTCGCTCCCCTCCCACGTAACCCTGCTTTCTCATTTCAAACCTCATTACAGCTGATACATGTGTTGTTTACTTTCTACCTCCTCTACTAGAACATTGGTTTCAGAGGCAGGCCCTGTGTCTTCCACACAGGGCCTGGCTCTTGGATGCTTTTTACTGAATGAATGAACTAATGTTGACTTTGTCTTGGGTTGAATGGAAAGCAGTCTCCCACCATCTGCATGTGTATAAGAGTGTGGAGGATTTTCTGTAGAGCATGCTTGGTGTGCCCTGATAATATCTACTGTAAATCAGTTCATATCTGTTAGCTCTTCAGATAACTTTTATTCTGATAGTGTTCTGGTTGGGACAAAACATCTTGTGGTCACACTAGTAATCCACTCTAATCTTGCTAAAAGATGCAACAAATTTACCAGTGCACACCATCCCCCAGGAAGGCAGCTGAAAAGCAGAGTGAAAGATAGCGTGCGCTTGCCTTTCTGCTCAGCGTGAATGATTATCCCTGATGTGACAGTGAATGAATGAATACGTTTCTAAGTGTCTATACATGGATCCCTATCTGGCAACGAGAAGTCTTGGGAATAGGAATGTACAGAGTAAGTCATCTGTAATGTAAAGGAAGTACTGTCTTTGAAAGAATTAGAGGAGGCCATACACTTCTGGGCTCTTCCTCAGCAAAGACCAGAGCTGTTCTCGGGGAGAGAAGTGGCCACTGGTGGACACTGGCCTGAACAGATCTTGTTTGAACTGCATCTACTGCTATCTGGGAGACACAGTAGTTACCATTGCTAAATCCTCATTGTTTTTAATCTGTAAAATGAGTAACCAGGATGCTTTCAGGTCATTGTGAAGTTTGGGTGCAGTAGCATGGAGCTGAGCACATGTAAGGGTGCAGGCATCACAGCGTTACTGACCTGCACTTCTGCTGGGCCGTACTGCTCTCAACGCTAGGTGGTATAATCTCAGTTATTCAGGAGGTTGAGGCAGGAGGATCTGAAGTTCAAAGACTCCCTGGGCAATTTAGCAAGACCTTGTCTACAAATTGAAAAATTAAGTGGGGGCCTGGGGGTGTAACTCAGTGGTAGAGTGCCCTGGGTTTAATCCCCAGAAGCAAAACAAAACAAAAGCAAAACACCAGGGCAGGCTGGTTCTGAGCTCTGTGTTCAGGTAAGCTATTTTCCATGGACAGTCAGCCAGCCATTTAACCAATAAAGACATGCTGAGGGACAGTGTTAGAGCCCATTGTTTTTCTTCCTGAGAATAATCCAGTCCTGTGGGTTTACTACTAAATATCCTGGATGACTTCTGGAAACAAGACCAGCAAACTTCAAGTGCGTTTTAGACTCTAGCCCAATTCTAATTAAATCCTAGGGGCGGAGTTAGTGCAGAGGCTAACTCTCCTGTTTGCTCAGGAAGAAAAACTAGGGGAGACACAAGAACAGTATCCCAAAGTTGACTGAGTAGAATTAGCTAGATTCTGAAGATGCACAGACTTGAGCAGGTAGGAATAGCAGCGTGAGGGTGTGGCAGGCAAATAGGCCCTCTGAGGCAGGAGGCAGAGGCAGAAATTAGTGCCCTGGGCCAGGCTGTGTGCTGGGACCAGAGGTGCAGCTGGGGCATACACAGCATGGTAGACCCGGTCTGAGAGAACTGGTTGAAAATGTCAGATTCCAGAGTGACATGTGGGACCACGAGGCATGGTGATTTCTGTGCCCTTAGTGGTATTCTTGTTTCCAAGGCACAGTTATTACCTCAGTTTAATTTTGCCAAATCCAATTATTGGCTTAAAGTTTCAAAACAAGATTTTCATAATTCATCGCAGAGACAATGTTCTTGAAGCAAGGTTGTTGATTTGCTAGGGGATTATTTTGGAATTCGGAGATGGATTCCTGAAGGAAATTGCATGGTTTGTGCTAGATGTGAGAGAGTGAAACAGATGAAATAGAAGGGTCCGGGGACCAGATTTGCAAATGAGATAGAAAGATGACCTGGGCAGGACACATTGGAATGAGTCCAGTCCCTGGAAATGAGCTTGTGTGCCTTTTTTGGGAGCTGAGGAGTGACAGGTATCACTTTAGAATTAACCCGGGATTGAAAGAGTTGTAAAGAGGTTTCTCTGCTTATTTCTGGAGTTTGGCAAGCCCAGAACTGTGTGACATGGCACAGTAAAGTGGGCACATGAGGGCTGACACATGAGAACCTAGGGCACAAAAGACCGAGTGAAAGACCTGGATTTTCCTAGGCCCCAGACAGGGATATTAGAAACCTAAGCGGACCCCAGGTAAGACCACACAGCCATCTCCACCCCGTGCTCTACACAGACTGGTCCTCTTTCTGAACTCATGAAATATATCACCAGAAAGAAGGAAAAAAAGAAAATACTGAACTTAAATGTGAAATGACTGAGAATGCTCTGTGCATTAAGCAAAAACTAGATTCATTCACTGAAAAACAGTCAGCATTTTCGTAGTTGTCGGCTTTGGAAGTGCTTCCCCATCCCACAGAGGTCCAGGCAGACTGATAGGACCGCAGAGCTCAGGTTGGAGGAGAGATGATGGGTCGGGAGAGAGATCAGGATCCCAGGAAAGATAGGGAGGTACGCACAAGAGGCCTCTCTGCACCACCACACGTGAGGACCAAAGGTTCCCTGCAACAGAGGAGAGCACTGAACAGATGGGAAGGGGTTATCCACAGGAGGAGTTGTCTTGCCTGGATCCCGGGGCTTCAGAGGATGCCTGAGTCCTATCCACACAGCATCAACTTGCCTTTCTGCTACTGTCCTTTGGAACAAAGGGTGATCTCTACTAATAAAAGGTGATGAGACTGAGACTGTCCAGGAGATCCTATGCAAGTCATCAGGAAAGCAGTGCATTGCCCAGCAGGGAGGCCAGTTTTGTGCAGTGGGCCCAGTTTGGCCATGATGGAGACCGAGCAAACATCAAAGGCTCAAAGCCACGTGATCTCCAGGCCAAGCAAGAAGCAAGCCCCAACAGGAAGCACTATGGCATACTAATGCACTCTCTCTCTCTGTCTCTCACAAATTAGCCATCAGACTTACTACAGCGTAAAACTCACTATTCCAGAGACTCAGAGAAACAGGACTGCTGTGACCTAAAGATCTCTTCCTTGATGTCTTTAAATGGCCACCAAAAACTAAGCCCCAGGAACGTTTTTCTCCTTGTGTCTCCAATAGAACAGAGGGCAGTAGTTTTAATTTGCTTTCCACAGCAGCTCCTAGGTGATCTTTCTTTTTGTAATTTGAATCAGCCAGCTTTCACAGGTGCTAAAGAAATGAGCAGAATCTGGCACTGGCAAAGGGAGATGGAGTCACTGATCTTGGAAGTAGGAAGGGAGTCCTTTCTCCAGAGACCTCTGAAACTGACAGTGGCTATTATAGGTACTTTTAGTTTCAATTAAAATGTACCAGACGACATACTGGTGCCTAATTTAATACTTGTCTTCCTGTTATCCTATTAAAATGTGAGAAATTGCAAAGGAAAGGAACTGGTGCTTACCCTGCACCTAATCCAATATTACAACTCTAAGAGCATGCCAAACTTCAGGAAGAACCCTGGCATCGGGCTGGTGCCACCCGTCTTGGCCTTGCTGGCAGGTGTTCCCCCTTGACTTCATCTCCCATCTTACTTTCTCTGGCTATAGCTTAGTGGCCATCTACCTTTATTCAATCACCCACAATGTGAAATGGCGGATTGGGGATTACAAAGTGGAGAAGGTTCCATTCCAAGCTGTCTCATTTGCTTCTTTCTTCTCTTTTCCAAAAACACTTATTTTATTTATTTTTTCACTCAGCTCCTATAAAAAGAAACACTGCTAGCCACTCACAGATGCTGGCAACCCAATTCAAGGGAGATTGGATTACCAAAGGTTTTGCAGAACAATGGCTAAATAAAAAAGGTGGTCGGTGAACTCCAAAGAAATTAAATACGTTTATCTTGAAAAATACAAGCTCACAATCGGGCTTCAAAGGAACATAAATACACCACCAGGCTGTGAAAATCGGGGTCCTCTTTCAGGAATGGAAAAGAGACTCATGGGACCCTTGGAGAACAGGGAGTTTGCTGTCTGACTCGAGGGATGAACACATGGGACATCTTGGTACAAGTGGGGGCAGATGATGGGGAAAGGGGACTCTGGGGATATTTTTCTCCCTCTTTCTTCTAGGGGGCCCAGTTTGGCCATCTGGGTTCTCTGGTCTCTCTGGAGAGCATGAAGGCTGAAACTCAAAGTGGGAGTTTGACAGTGTCTCAGCGATGCTTCTGAAGAAGCGCATCCCTAATCAGATTGATTGCTGAGTCATGGAGAAACTCCCAGGGGTTGGCAGAAACCACGATCAGCAACAGAGGCAAATGGGAGCCCAACAAGTGTGCGACAGAGAAGGGCAGCTATTAGAAAGATGACAGCCCACCTC